AGTCTGGATATTCTACTGGAAGAAAAATAGGTCAAATTCAGTGTACACTACTGTGTGATGCGCACTTAGCCTGGCATTTGCGTGTATTTATTTCATCATCAGAAATACCCTTTGAGCCCCAGCCGGTGTGGCTCAGTGGGTTGAACATTGTCCTATGGAGAAAGGACGCTGGTTTGATTCCCAGTCAGGGCACATGCCCAGCTGTTCGATCCCTGGTCAGGGTGTGTACAGGAGGCAACAGATCGATGTTTCTCTCTCTCTCTTGCACATCAACATTTCTCTCTCTCCCTAAAAAAATCAATAAAAATGTGTTTATAAAAGTACCCTTTCCATAGTGTTAAAATACAGAATCCACAGTAATATACGTGAATTTATGAAAAACAAAACTATTCCGTTCATTGTCTAACTAAAGCATGTATCATTAGAACTGCATTCCAAGTGATATATACACATCAAGGCGCAGATGACTGGCCCGATGGTTTCTGAACCAGGTGTGGCCTCTCAGAAATCGTGGGCGGGTCTCTTCTCTAGCATGGCTGCCACTGGCTAGGGTTCGACTGAGGCAGTGCGTTAGTCTCCGGGGCTGTTATAGAGGGAATGTTTGTGCGTCCCCCCAGATTCTTATGTTGAAACCTAACTCCCGAAGTGATGGTATGTCGAGGTGGTGTCTTTGGGAGGTATTAGGTCATGAGGGTGGAAACCCCAGGAATGAAATTAGTGCCCTTATGAAGGACACCCAGAGAGCTCCCCTCTACCAGGTGGCGGTGTGTGTACGTGTGTGTGCTTTGCTGTATTGTAGGTGGTGTGTGTGCCTGTGTGTGCTTTGCTGTATTGTAGGTGGTGTGTGTGCCTGTGTGTGCTTTGCTGTATTGTAGGTGGTGTGTGTGCCTGTGTGTGTGCTTTGCTGTATTGTAGGTGGTGTGTGTGCCTGTGTGTGCTTTGCTGTATTGTAGGTGGTGTGTGTGCCTGTGTGTGCTTTGCTGTATTGTAGGTGGTGTGTGTGCCTGTGTGCACTTTGCTGTATTGTAGGTGGTGTGTGTGCCTATGTGTGTGCTTTGCTGCATTGTAGGTGGTGTGTATACCTGTGTGTGTACTTTATTCTATTGTAGGTGGTGTGTGTGCCTGTGTGTGTGCTTTGCTGTATTGTAGGTGGTGTGTGTGCCTGTGTGTGCTTTGCTGTATTGTAGGTGGTGTGTGTGCCTGTGTGTGCTTTGCTGTATTGTAGGTGGTGTGTGTGCCTGTGTGCACTTTGCTGTATTGTAGGTGGTGTGTGTGCCTATGTGTGTGCTTTGCTGCATTGTAGGTGGTGTGTATACCTGTGTGTGTACTTTATTCTATTGTAGGTGGTGTGTGTACCTGTGTGTGCTTTGCTGCATTGTAGGTGGTGTGTATACCTGTGTGTATACTTTGTTCTGTTGTAGGTAGTGTGTGTACCTGTGTGTGCTTTGCTGTATTGTAGGTGGTGTGTGTACCTGTGTGTGTACTTTGTTCTATTGTAGGTGGTGTGTGTACCTGTGTGTGCTTTGCTGTATTGTAGGTGGTGTGTATACCTGTGTGTGTACTTTGTTCTGTTGTAGGTAGTGTGTGTACCTGTGTGTGCTTTGCTGTATTGTAGGTGGTGTGTGTACCTGTGTGTGTGCTTTGCTATATTGTAGGTGGTGTGTGTACCTGTGTGTGTGCTTTGCTGTATTGTAGGTGGTATGTGTACCTGTGTGTGTGCTTTGCTGTATTGTAGGTGGTGTGTGTACCTGTGTGTGTGCTTTGCTGTATTGTAGGTGGTGTGTGTACCTGTGTGTGTGCTTAGCTCCATTGTAAGGAACTGGAGCTCATGAGCAGCTCTTTGGCTCTGGATGACAATGACCTCAATCCAGTTTTTTAAAAGTAATTTCACTCCTTCCTGCATCCATTTCATGCACAAGGTCACTGAAGATGGTTGTCATCAATTGACATTGACAAATATTCTTCCTGTCCTGTCACTGGAGGGACAGGTTCTTTACGTTGGTCCATCCCAGCACACTTCAGAAGCGCAGCCTGCACTTACTGAAATGATTTCCGTTGGCTTCCACGGGGCAAGTCTTCCACGTAACCTCACGTTCAGCGGGGGGGTAACACCGAGCTGGGAGAGCTCACTGAGCCGTGCGTGTGGTTCCCATGACGTTCTCTTCTGTTCTGAAGCGGGGGTGGAGGACCGCAGGTTGGGTGATGGATTGCAGAATCGTGGCTTGTTTGTGCCCGATGATGCTGATAGCCGTGTAATTTAGGGCACAGCGAGAGCTGTGCCCGGGATGTGAAATCTGCGCATCCAGCCAAGATTTCCCCGAGCTAGCTCGTTCATCAGGCTCACGAGCACTCGAACCTTTGGCTAAGTCAGTGAAATACCAAGAAGAGGAATTACGATGTGTAAAAGTAGCGAGAGGACAGAACAGTGGGTTGAGTCATTGAAACATGTTTTGCAAGACAGTAGGAGCGATCTTGCTGTTCTCTGCAGAGGTCGCGGCCCCTTTTCCTGGACTCCTGTCGCGCTGGTGAGGTGGGCTGGTGAGGGTGCAGTCACAGACAGCCCCAGGCTCTCACGACTCAGACTGCGGCTTGCTGTCACTGCGTCACGACGTGCCCCGGTGTTGTAGGTGGCGTGTGTACCTGTGTGTCATAGTCACGTGAGGGCTGAGGTTGTTGGAGACGGGGAGAAAAAAGACAACCACACCATGAAGCATCGCCTGAAACGTCACGTTTCTCACCTTCATTGGGGAAGCCAGTCACCTGGCCACACCTGAGTTGACTTGGGCGGGGTTTATCGCTTCCTCAGGGAGGGTTCTGCAATATTGGTGCACAATCCAATCCTACCACACTGGTTATCGGGATCCAAGATATTAAAGTGACATCATCATGGTGACTGCAAACCTAACATATACGATATAATCATGGCAACGGCACAACCAACATATATGACATCATCACGATGACAGCACACCTAATGTATATGACATCATCACGGTGACAGCACACCTCCCATGTATGAAATCATCATGGGGACAGCACACCCACCCTGTATGACATCATGATGACAGCACACCTATTAAGTCAGATTGGTCACGAATACACTATATTTAAGATGTGCTGCCCTGGCTGGTTTGGCTCAGTGGTTAGAGCATCGGCCTGTGGTCCAGAGAGACCTGGGTTCGGTTCCCTCTGGGGGCATGTACCTCGGTTGCGGTTTGTCCCTGGCCCTGGATGGGTCGTGCGGGTGGCAATCACTCGATGTGTCCCTTCACGTTGATGCCCCCCCCCTTTCTCTCCCTCCCACTCTATCTGAACAAAAAATGGAAAAATGTCCTCTGGTGAGGATGAAAAAAAAAAGATGTGCTAAGAAGCCAAGCATGAGATGCTATATATAAGCCATAAAGTCACCTTGCAGGCTCAGCTCATTTTCTCCCTGTGACTGATCAAATACTTGGAATTCTCTGAAAATATCTTAGTGTCTGGCTCCTATATGTTTCACATGTGATTTCTTGTAGAGTTGTTCTGAAAAAAAAGAAAAGACCCTTTTTGATAGCTCAGTTGGTTGGAGTGTCCCCCTGGGCACAGAAGGGCAGTAGGTCCATTTCCAGTCAGGGCCCATACCCAGGTTGTGAGTTCGAGCCCTGGTCAGTGTAGGAATGGTAGCAGCCGACTGATGTTTCTCTCTCTCTCTCTTCTTCCTCGCTCTAAAATAAAATAAATTAAAAAAAAAAATCCCCAGGTGAGGATTAAAAAAAAAAATTATTTTTTTAAATATAGAAGTAATAGATCCTTATTGGTAAGAATTTAGGACATACAGAACAATTTAAAAAAAAGAGAATAAAATATGCTTACCATTCCCTTGCTCTGAGGTTGAGAATTTCAGTTCAGAGAACACACACACACATATACACACACACAGCATTGATGCCACCAAATTAAAAAACAAACACCCATTTTGAGATAATTTGCACTGCGTGGTGTTTCTTGGCTTACAGATGCATCCCAGTCACATGGCTACCTTCTCCCCGTGTGTGTTCACACCGTCTTTCTTCTGTCTGGGTCCAAATGTGCCCTTTTATAGGGACACACATCCTGTTGTGTCATGGCCCACCCTCAGGACGCAAATTAAGACCCTGTTTCCAAATATATCTTTTTTGGAGGGACACAGTTCAACCCATAATAAATTGAGGATAAGATTTCTGCAAAACTCAGTGATGTCTTCACGTATACACGGCTTTGTGGATGGCTGCTTTTTTTTTTTTTGGTACGTGCCCCTAGCGGGAACCAAACCCGGGACTCTCTGGTCCGCGGGCCGATGCTCCAACTGCTGAGCCAAACTGGCCAGGGCCGGTTGGCTTCTTCTGAGTGATGGTGATATCATTTGCTTTCAACATGAATCCGCTCACTTCTCCTTGCTACACTGTTTCTGCGGTTTCCACGGTTTCCGCAGTGTGAGCTCTTCCAGGGTCCGTGGCCGTCCATCTCGTGAACCGTGCGAGTATTTTGCTAGGGTGATCATCAAGAATTTTAATCATGGTCATGTGTCTTTACAATTTTTTGTTTTGATCCTCACCCGAGGACGTTTTTGCATTCATCTTCAGATAGAGCGAGATGGAGAGAGGGAGGAAGAGAGAGAGAGAAACATCGATGTGTGAGAGACACATCGAGTGGCTGCCAGCCACAAGACCCTAACTGGGGCCGGGGACAAACTGCAACCCAGGTACGTGCTCTAAGCGGAAACCGAACCCAGGACTCTGGTCTGGCTCAGCAGTTAGAGCATCAGCCCTGCACCAAGAGGTCACAGGTTCGATTCCCGGTCAGGGCACATGCCCGGGTTGTGGGCCTGATCCCCAGTGCGGGGCGTGCAGGAGGCAGCCAATCAATGTTCTCTCTCATTGATGTTTTTTATCTCTCCCTACTTCTCCCTTCCTCTTTCTAAAATCAATGAAGAAAAAAAATAAAAATAAGAAAAATAGACTCTCTGTCCACCATCATGGTGCATGCGGTTGGTTCTCTTTCGTGTGTCTTCTCACAAGACTTACAGGATCAAGAGGTTCCTGGCCAGGAAACAAAAGCAGAATCGGCCCATTCCCCACTGGATTCGGGTGAAAACTGGTCATAAAATCAGGTACAACTCCAAGAGGAGAAGAACCAAACTGGGTCTACAAGGAAGCACACATGAGAGATGCTCACACATTGATGCTGTGTCCAGGTTGCCTGTATCTCACCACATCACCGAAAGTAACACTACTGTCTGGACAGCTGGGCGTTTTATTTTATTTTATTTATTTACTTTTTTATCCTCACCTGAGGACATTTTTCCATTTTTTGTTCATATAGAGTGGGAGGGAGGGAGGGGGAGAGAGAGAGAGAGAGAGAGAGAGAGAGAGAAACATCGACGTGAAGGGACACATCGAGTGGCTGCCACCCGCATGACCAACCTGGGCTGGGGACAAACTGCAACCGAGGTACGTGCCCTTAGTGGGAACCGAACCCGGGTCTCTCTGGACCGCAGGCTGACGCTCTGACCACTGAGCCAAGTCGGCCAGGGCCAATTAGGCATTTTAATTGGGAAATTATTGTAGGCATGATTTTTCTTTTTTTTCCCTGCAGTAGATTGGTTCAGTAATAAATGTGAGACCTTTGTTTGTTTGTTTTTTTATCCTCACCCGAGGACATTTTTCCATTTTTTTGTTCAGGTAGATTGGGGGGGGGGGGGCAGACAGAGAGAGAGACAGAAACATCGACGTGAAAGGGACACATCGAGTGGCTGCCACCCACACAACTCAACCAGGGCTGGGGACACACTGCAACCGAGGTACGTGCCCTTAGCGGGAACCGAACCCAGGTCTCTCTGGACCGCAGGCCGATGCTCTAACCGCTGAGCCAAACCGGCCAGGGCTAAATGTGAGACCTTTAAAAAAAACCCGAAATGCCCTTCCTGCTCCTGCCAGTATTACCCAGTGGTTAGAGCGTCGGCCAGGCCACCAGAGGGGTGCTGGTTCAATCCTCGGCTGGGCTGAGGAGTGTGCAGGAGGCAATGGATCAATGTGTCTCTCTCACATGGATGTTTCTCTCTCTCTCCCTCTCTCCTTTCCACTCTATCTAAAGGTCAATGGAAAAATAGCCTCAGGTGAGGATTAACAGAAGAAAAAAGAAGAAGATGCCCTTCCCTGATGGGATCTCAAGAGTATCCCGTGAGTGTCCTAGAGCTGAGCCTCTCACTCAGTTCTCGCCTATCTGAGGTGTCCGTGCATTTACTGTCTCTCGCTGCTGGTGGGTTGAGCATCCCCTCGTGTCGCTCTCAGGTTTGTCCGTCCCCCGGTCTGTAAAGCCGCGTTGCTACCCGTGCCTGTCGAATGAATTTTACTTTTAAAAAATGTGAAATGGCCCTGGCTGGTTTGACGCAATGGTTAGTGCTTCATCCCACACACTGAAGGGTGGCAGGTTCGATTTCCAGTCAAGGGCATGTACCTGGGTTGCAGGTTCAATCCCCGGCCCTGGTCAGAGTCATGCAGGAAGCAACCAATCGATATCTCTCTGTCTGTGTCTCTCTTCCTCCCTTCTCTCTCTAAAAATCAATGGAAAAAATATCCTTTTGTGGGGATTAATCAACAGAACAAGTTAAATGGGAGATAGTAAAATCGATAGATATTTTTCTTTTTTTTTCTTCATTGATTTTAGAGAAAGGAAGGAAGAGGGAGAGAGAGATAGAAACATTGATGAGAAAGAACATCGATGGGCCGCCTCCTGCATGCCCCCCACTGGGGATCAGGCCCACAACCTGGGCATGTGCCCTGGCTGGGCATCGAACCGGCGACCTCTTGGTGCAGGGTCCACGCTCAACCCCTGAGCCACACCGGCTGGGCGATAGATATTTTTCCTGTGACTTCCTCTAGTGCTTCTATGCACAGCAGTTCCTTCTATACCCGTCCAGTTGTGATAGCTTTATGTTCAACATCCAGCATAGATAAAATCTGGCCCCTTTGTGGCTGGGTTTGAACTGTGCTGGTCTCAACGGACAAGGTCAGGGTGGACAGACTTTCTGTGAAGGGCCAGATTGCCTGTTTGCAGGGCCATATGGTCTCCGTGGCAACTACTGAACTCTGCTGATGTCACTGGAAAGCAATGGTGGACAGTACCTAAATAAATAGGCATGTCTGTGTGCCAGTAAAACATCCCCCCCCACAGGTGGCAGCTGTAATTTATCAACCCCTGGACTGGACCATTGCCAAATCCCCTATTCAGCCGGCTCATTTAGACACATCAGAGACCTGAATTAGAGATAAGCGATAAACACATAGTGTCATTGTTGCAAAATGCATGGGCCACAGTCAATGGTTTAGCACAGAAGAGCTTTTTGCAGACACGCAGTCAACAAATACTATGGTTATGAGATCCCACGTAGGGCCGGTTTCTTTCTAGGCATTTGCGTCTGAGATTCCTCCGTTTTTCAAGACACCCGTGAAAGGGGCCTTATAAATCCCGCAAGCTGGACAGGAGATTCAATTTCACAAGGAAAAAAGAAGCATCGATATTCTGCTGATGTGAGACTACTGGTCGCTTCAGATAAATAGGACGAACTGTCATTTAAGGAAAGAATCATCTTAGTGACATAAAGAATAGAAAAGCCACCGTGGAGTGGGTGAAGTGTAATGACAAACATGCCTTCTTCTCCTTAACGTTTGGATTTGCTCACGGAAGGGTGACAGACGGACCAGACAGACTGCATCACATCTCCTGTTCCGGTCCATCCTAGATTCTCCTTGGCTGAAGGGGAGCCCTGCAGAGCTGTCGTGGTGAGGTTGGGGAACCTCCAGGTGACATGTCACCTGGAGTATAGGTGACACGTCACCTGGAGTATAGGCGACACGTCACCTGGAGTATAGGCGACATGGGCAGGTAGTGCTTCCTTAGCTCCTGGGCCCTCCTGGCTGCACTGAGGTCTGACGTGGTGGGTGGAATGAATGAATCCGTTCCTGGTCCCACGTCAGTCTCCCGAACCAAATTCGCTGGCGAGCGTGTCCGGGCATCTGACCAGAACCCTTAGTGATCTTCAGAGGAATCATTACCGTCTGACAACCTCACATCCCAACAGTATCTCCAAGCGAGGCTAATCAGTTGCAGAAACTCTTCTCAACCGACCGTCTCATGTCAAGGCAAAGCGCCCCAGGACGTTTGTGCCCATTGCAGGAAATGAGTCCATGGAAAAGGGGCCGTATGTTTTCCACCTACGTTTCATCTCCTGGTCGGCTCAGCGGCATCACAACTGCGCCTTTGAAACCGTCTGATGGTTGCTGACAGCAGTATTGTGACGGAAATGAACTCGGACGGTCTGGTTACGCTTTATTTTATCCCTAATCCCTTCGCAGTAGGAACCTGAAGTTATGTAGCAAAAAACAAAACACACACGAAATAGAGCCAAAATCCACATTCTCTTTTATTGGCTTTTTTGTTGTTGTTAATCCTCACCCGAGGATATTTTTTTCCATTGATATTTAGAAAGAGTGGGAGGGAGGGAGGGAGGGGGGGAGGGAGAAAGAAAAACTTCAGCGTGAAAGACGCGCACAGATTGGTTGCTTCCTGCACAAGCCCCGACGGAAGCCAGGGATCACACTTGTAACCTGGGTTTGAGCCCTTGACTGGAATCGAACCCGCAACATGCACAGGCCAACGCTCTAACCACTGAACAACACCAGCCAGGCTATTGGCATTTTTATTATTATTATTTTTATCCTCACCCGAGGACATTTATCCACTTTTTGTTCAGATAGAGTGGGAGGGAGGGGGGAGAGAGAGAGAGAGAGAAACATCGACATGAAAGGGACACATCGAGTGGTTGACACCCGCACAACCCAACCAGGGCCGGGGACAGACTGCAACCGAGGTACATGCCCTTAGCAGGAACCGAACCCGGGTCTCTCTGGACCGCAGGCTCCAACCGCTGAGCCAAACCGGCCAGGGTGGCATTTTTATTTTTTAATCCTCACCTGGGAATATTTTTCTGTTTATCTTCAGATAGAGCAAGACTGGGAGAGAGAGGGAGACATGGATGTGAGAGAGACACATCGAGTGGCTGCCACCCACACGACCCCAACCGGGGCCAGGGCCAAACTACAACCAAGGCACACGCCCTTAGCGGGAACCGAACCCGGGACTCTCTGGTCCACGGGCCGACGCTCTAACCGCTGCGCCAACTGGCCAGGGCTATTGGCGTTTTTTAAGAAACCAAATTCTGCAGTCGTATTGCTGGCAACACAACACAAGTGAATGACGCGCCTCCTTCTTCCTCTCGCACGACTCCCCTGATGCTATGTTCTCAGCAGTGTCGCTCCACAGGAACACGGCATCACTTGCGCACTCCCCGGTCGCTCATGAATGAAACCTCCCGGCGCTGTGTGAGCACCTTCAGACTCTTACAATACAGCACATTTTCTTAATATATCTGTGCACATCATTCTTCTTAATTGGACTCTGCTGTTCCACGGCTGCTCCTGTCTGCGTCGTGTTTCTGGAGCCGGGCCGAGGGTGACAGCTGCCCCTTTGTCATCCCCCGAGCGGGGATGTCTGCGCAGGAAGGAACTTCTCAGTGGAAAATTCTGGCCGATCCGCGCCCTGCCTGCCTTTGACGGAACGGTGTACTTCTCCGGCTAAAGGATAAGGTGGACGTGTTGCTTGTTTACGAATTCTCAGCGTGTGAGGAAACGCAGGTGCTAGAGGCTGGTGGTGGGCGCATCTCTGCAACCTGTGTGCCCCCCCCGTGACGCCCTACCCACGTCACTTCGCCTCCACGCAGTGGGGGGTTTGAAGCCAGATGATGACTGATGATTTGCAACTATTCTGCTTAAAAAAAACAAACTATTTTTTTCTCGAGACTGTTTATTTTCTGGTTCCCAAGAGTTTGGTTTCTGCTCATCATCTCTTAGCAGCCTCGGAGCTGATCTGTCTGCACCGTTATTATTATTTATTTTTACAGAGAGAGAAAGGGAGAGGGAGAGAGAGATAGAAATATATACATATTTTTATCCTCACCCGAGGACATTTTTTCCATTTTTTGTTCAGATAGAGGGGGAAAGGGGTGAGAGAGAGAGAGAGAGAGAGAGAGAGATCGACATGAAAGAGACACATCAAGTGGTTGCCACCCCCACGACCCAACCAGGGCCGGGGACAAACTGCAACCAAGGTATAAACAACTGGGGGTCAGGGGTGCCGACCCCATGCACAGCTGAAAATCCACGTGTAACTTTTGATGCTCCAGAAACTTAAGTACTAATAGCCCGCTGCTGTTGAGAAGCCTTACCAAGAGCACAGTCAATTGACACGTAGTTTGTGTGTCGTGTGTCTCATATGCTGCATTCTTACAAGAAAGCTAGCTAGCGAAAGAAAATGTTATTCAGGAAATCATAGGGAGAGAAAATACGTTTACAGTACTAGGTGGATTTTCAATAAATCCATGTATAGGTGGACCTGCACAGTTCCAGCCCATGCTGTTCGAGGGTCAAATGTAACCTTCAAAGTCGAGTTTAAAATTCCGTTTAACTTTCGGCGAACCTTCTGGCTCACCTGTTGCACAATTACCACCAGCAAATCCCTCTCCCAAACAACAGAATAGCCTCTATTCTCTTGATAAAATCTCATTTCAAATAAGTGGAAAGAACTGAGTGTTTTGTTTATTTTTCCTGGAGTATATAATTTTTTCTGCTTTATCTTTTCTATCTTTATATTGAAATATAAATTACATACAGTAAAATTTATTCCTTTTCAAGTGTGTTGTTCAGGAGTTTTCAAATTACATATAGCTCATGTCGTAATAACTGTGTACGGTGACAGATGGTTATTGACTTCCTGTGAGGATCACTTTGTTCGGTACGGAAATTCTAATCGCTATGTCATGCACTTGGAACTAATATAATACTATATATCAATACAATTACTTAAATAGAAAATAATTTAAAAAAAAAACAAAACACT